CATATCGAACTTGCACAACTTGTAGCGCGGTAAGAGTATAATTTTTTTTAAGGTGTAAATTTTCTTTTTAAAAAAAAAATTTATATAAAAAAAAAAAAAAAAAATCATTAATAATAATAATAATAACAGATTCATCGTACGGAATGTTACAAAGCGCAAAATTAACGTATTTTAGTTCACCTTAAGTTTTATTATAAAAGGTATTTCGATTCGTAGTATTAATATTAATAATAATATTACTTACTCTTTTATTGGACGTAACTTTATTCTCCATTTACGTTGACACGTAAACCTTGCTTATCTCTCAAATTATAATAAACACTTATGTATGAATTGTTTTATTTATTTTCGCTACATATGTATATTGTAAAATAATCATTATAATTTGCATGAAACCTACGCAACGTAAAAATTATAACCAAAAATGAAAAATAAACATCAATATAAGATAAAAGTAAAAGAAAAATGCAATTTATATTGTCAAAAATTTTAAAGTAATAAATAAAGCTATCAAAAGAACTAAAGAGCAAATACTACCTTATTTACTATTTAAAATAGAATGAAAACCAACAGTTAATATGTTTACAAAAACAATTATATTGACTGCAATAATAGTAAATGATGAAAATACTTACTTCCCATTTATTATTTAAAATATAATAAACTATGAAAATACTTACCCACTATTTATTATTTAAAATAAAATGAAATAACAGTTAATTTCAAAAACAATGATATTGACTGCAATAATAGTAAATGATGAAAATACTTACTACCTATTATTATTTAAAATAATATGAAAACTATAGTTAATATGTTTCAAAGCAATGATATTGACTGTAGTAATAGTAAATTATGAAAATACTTACAGGCTATTCATTATTAAAATAAAATGAAATCAACAGTTAATATTTTTTTCAAAAACAATGATATTGACTTAATGTCAATTGTATATCTTTGGGTAGATTTTCTTAAGGCCCTGTATTCTAAATCTACATATTTTCCATCATTTAATACTGTTGTGGGCACTCTACTTAAAGTGTCAATGTCACTGACAAATTTACGAATTCAATATAATAATAACAGACATTATTATTATATTTTGTTGTGTTAAAGGCAATGTAAAAGATATAGATGATTATGAGGATGTTGCATTGAAATTAATAATTAAATATGGGGCTCGAAATTTTCACTTGGTATTAGTATTATTAGTCGCTATACTTTTTGCAAGGAAATTGTGGTCACTTGATCTTAAATAGGATATTCCAACAATAATTGTTGGTGGAATTTTATGCAGAAGTTTATGTTATTATCATTATATGGAAAGTTCAAAAATTTAGTCGTATATGCATATATAAATATAAATATTAATTAATTAATTAATTAATAATATCGTTGAAATAATTATTATTTGTAAACTGCGAGCAG